AGCCTGGAGAGGGGGGGACCCGCTGTCCCCATAGGGTGCTGCCACCATAGGGTGCTGCCACCTCAGTCCTGGGACAACCTGGGTTGAAGGGGACCTACTGTCCCTATAGGTTGCTGCCACCTCTGTTCTGGGACAGCCTGGGGAGAGGGAACCCGCTGTCCCCACAGAGTGCTGCCTGCTGTCCCCATAGGGTGCTCCCCCTTCTGTCCTGGGACAGCTTGAGAAGGGGAGGACTTGCTGTCCCCATAGGGTGTTGCCACCTCTGTCCTGGGACAGCCTGGGGAGGGGGACACACCCACTGACCCATCCATCTGTCCTAGGGCAGCTCAGGGAAGGGAGATCCCCACCCTGGTGGGGTGCTTCCCATCCCCACCATATTCCTGGGACAGCTGGGGATGGCATCTCAACTGGGACAGTCCTGGACCTGCTGTCCCCATAGGGTGCTGCTGCTCCCCAGCAGGTCCTGAGGCTGGCATCTCACCCACTGCCCTGCCAGGGTGCCAGGACAGCACCAGGAGGGATGGCTCACCCCCCAGGGGGTCCTGCTGCTGCTGGTACACACTTCTGGTCCTGTTGAGTCCCATGAAGAGCCCTTGTTGCAGGTGTTCTGCATGTGCTTGTCTCTTTGGGACAGCTGATGGGCCTCAGGTACCCAAATGCCACTCTGTCTCTCCCTCCTACCTCACTAGAGCACTAGGATTTGACCTTGGGGATTGTGGAAATACAGACAAATCGAGTATGAGTGATAGGACTCGTAGGGGTTTTTAGCTGAACCATTGTTTCCCTAATTTAAAATAAAGCCTTTTTTTTTTTCCTGCACAAATGGGAAGTGTGGAGTTTCCCAGCTGCGTGTATCGTGTGGGGACAGTGCGTGGGGACACCCTGCAGCTTCCATGGTTGGGAAGAAGGAACTGTACAGGGTCACTTTTTCCTGGTGGGGATGTGAATGCATGGCACAGAGGAGTGATGTTGACTCATTATCCATTGCCTGAGTGAAGAAATATCTGTCTGTCCAGAACTCAACCCAGCCAACCTTGATGACTTTATAGTTATCTGTGTGTTGCTTTCATTTTCTCTTCTCTTTTCCTTCAAATGAACTCTGTTTAGTTTCTGTTTCACCAGAAGCCAGAGCTGCCTGGAAAAGGGCTTTTTTGGGTTTTTTTTTTCAGGAAACTTAGAGAAGTGTTGCAAAGTTTAGTTAGAACTCAGCTTGGATTGTGATTCTGGGTAGCAAGAACATGAAAGGAAAGTCCGACCTGGTAGTCGAAATGGAAAGTGTGGTGGGAGGGTTGTGAAGATTTAATCGGAGCGTTGTAATTGCCTTCCTATGCAAATCAGTTAACCTGGCTTAGCTTACCCATTTCACGGCCTCTGAGCATCGCTGGATAAGGGCTTGTTTCTTCCAGAGGGCAATGTTAATAGTGAATTAACAGGTTTGCTCCTTTCTAAAGCAAAATTGAATGCTAGATCTTGATGTTTCAGTAGCGCTGGGGATAAGATCCGAGGGTGAGAGTGAGTGAGCAGGTTGTGCTGCCCACAGAGCAATACCAGAGGGAATACCCCAGCTCTTAACCAGCTAGAGAAAAGCTGGTTCCTGCTTACTGAATCTCAGCTCTTTGCCTGCTGTGATATTTATCTGTGCTCAGGATAAGGTGTAAAAGCAACGTACGTCACACAGGCTGGCTGGTTGGCAGGAGCCAGCCCCAGCATGGCCTGGAGGGCGTTGCCTCTGTGATAGTAACCCAGCCTGAGTCTGATCCTGCATCACTTTGGGAGGTTTGGGCAGATTGGTGTCACACGCAGCTCTTTGTGTGAGCAAAAGCCTCTCCTCCCTGGTGAGCAGGGTGAGCTGGGCGATGTGCCTGGGCATCCTCTGAGCTGCCCAGCAAAAGCAAGAAGTGACACACTGAGACTATTTGAGACCAGGCAGCTCTCATGGACCAGTGCTGCCAGTGTGTCTGTAGCACAAAGGCTGTTGGAATCAGCCCTCCGGCAGGGAGAGGAATTAATCACGCTATTCATTCTTCCCAGCGAGCTTGTGGCACTGTGCTTATGTAAAGTCAGGCTATGAATTATTTACAGCGGGCTTCCCCACTGTAGTAGTGCCGGTGTACCGAGCAGAGGGCTGGGGACAAGGTGATGCTGGGCACCGGGTGTCACCCACCGCTGAGGTGATGACAGCGAGGGGCTGCTGGGTGATGGTGGACAAAACCCTGGGCGTGTGGCATGCAGCATCCTGTGCCTTCCACACGTACCGCAGTCTTTCGTAAATGAAAGAGCCTGGAGGAGGAGGAGGAGGAGGAGGAGGACCGACACAACACCGATGCGTGTTGCCATGGAAACTCTGGTCAATTGATGCGCCATCAATCGCAATACGAATCATTTTCTATGTTTGCAGCTTTTTTTTTCCCCTCCTCTCCCCTCGTTACAATCAGGCAGCATCGCTGTCGAGTGTTTGTCACACTGCATCTCTCCTAGAAGCTTGGGAGAATAACAAAACCTTTAAAGAAACAGAGCTGTGTAGGCTGAGCTCGCTGAATGAGGCTGGAGGCAACTGGTGAGGCTCTGACTCCCGCGGGAGGAGGGATGGAGGGAACTCACGGCTGTCCAAGGAGTGGGCTGGAAGCAGAGCTGTGCAGTTCCTGAGGTCTCAGGAAGACACTCTCTGTCCTTGCTGTGTGGGGAAAAGTCAGAGTTTCCTTTTTCATCTGCTGGGGTTGAGGCTGGAAGCAGCAGTTGGATACAGTGATGTGTCAGAGGTCAGGTGAAGATGGAACGTGTGCTGGCTGTCCAGATCCCACCATGGGATCCGGGGACATCTTATAGCGGCCTTCCAGTACCTGAGGGGCTACAAGAAAGCTGGGGAGGGACTTTTCATAAGGGCAGTTAATGACAAAACAAGGGGAAATGGGTTTAAACTGAAAGAGGGGAGGTTTAGATTAGATATTAGGAAGAAGTTCTTCACTGTGAGGGTGGTCAGACACTGGAACAGGTTGCCCAAGGAAGCTGTGGCTGGGCCTTCCTGGAAGGGTT